CATTACTGAGCCTAACATCTCATTCATCATTCAGTTCTTCTTTGCTTTCTTCAATGCATTTCAAGGTTTCTTTATTTTCTTCTTTTTTGTTGTTCTAAGCAGTGACTCGAGAAATGCTTGGAAATTACTTCTCTGTCCTTGGACAGTGAGGGATGGAACGGCATCTACAGTTGCTAAAAATAAAACTTCAAATATTCAAGTCAAGTCACCACAAGTCAAAAATGCACCAGAGAGTCTAGTTTCGATTAATGGAAAAGGAAATAAAGGAAAAGATTTTGCTGAAAATTTAATATTTGAAAACAAGACAATCCTTGAAGACAGTGGTTTTTCTATTGATGATGAAATCATGATTTCTGAATTTGGTAGTATTCGTTTTGAACGTCATCTTTCTGTACGACGTACACACTATGTGGAAAAAATTGAGATAGATTTTACAGATGGTGATGATGACGATGGAGGTATTTGAGTCATGAAATTTGTTTGTTTTTTATTCTCCATTCTTATTATTTATATTAGAAACTGCTACTAATATGAAATGCATCAAGTTTATTGTTTTTATCTTTCCATATTTTTATTAATAGATCATACCTTCACTGTCTTTCATCATCATCATAATTATTTATTCATAGTTTCAATTGAGATAATTATTGTTAAGTGTTTGATTTCCTAATTTTATAGTGATATGATATTTGAGTAGTTGATGATGTCATAAATTCATTCGATTGGGTGATAGCGATGGCAGTGCTAGTCTTTGTTTTATGTGTTCTATCACTATCAGTTGCTCAGGATTGTCCTCTACCAACAATAGCTGAGATTGAAGGATCAGTTCAATAAGTCTGTCAAACTTAAGAGAGCATGATTAATACTTTAAGTTATCCTGGGTCTCATTTATCGCAACTTTTACAAGCATTCATCTCTTGAGACCTTTATCCACCTAACCACCTTTATGTTACTCCCGTTCAGACATGGGGTCAAGCACTATGAAATGTACTTAAACACAAACACAAGCACTTAAATGTGTTAGAAGTACCAGCACAAGCACAATCTATAGCTTTAACATAAGTGCTTAAGTACAAGAACAAGCATTTTTGTGCTTAATTACATTAATAAGTACTAGATATTCAATAAGTGTAAAAATTAATTAAAATTACAATTATAGTTAATTTACTATTGCATCTAATAAACACTAACTCTGTGAATTGTTCATAATAAATGGAAACAGCAGAGAGCTTTGGAGTGATACCACTAATGGTGATGCCATTACCATTCTTCAAGCTAACACACAATCACACAATGTGCTACAAAACTTGTATACTACATGTACATGTACATGTAGTGGTACATGTACATGTACATGTACATATAGTGGTACATGTACATGACATCGACATATACATGTAGATGTACCATGTAGATGTAGATGTACATGTACATGTACATGTACACTATTCATGTGTAATTTTTGCTGTGCTTAAAAGCACTTTTGTAAATTTGTAAAAGTAATTAAGTACAAGTACAAAGCACATAGATTATATTGAAAAGGTACTTGTAAGCAGCATTAAGTACTTAGAAAGCTGTGCTTATTTGTACTTAAGTACAAGCACCAAGTGCTTGACCCCATGCCTGCTCCCATTCATCCTATATTCTAGTATGCCTCCCCAATTTATGACCCCCTCTCCTTTAATGACATCTTGGCTTGAGGCTGTTCAGCATTTTGGCCTAAAACTGGCTCTTAAATCCTAGACGGCCCCATATCAACAACTACTTTCACAGTCTCACATTCATTCCTTATCACATTGCTGGTTCAAATTTACAATAATTAATATTTAAAGTCAAGGAAGGCCTCTATTTCACTGCTATGTCAAAAGGAAGTCTTTTTTCTTGTTTGCAGAAAGAGAAGTCTTACCTTATAGTGGGAGAAACCAGTGAAGAAAGCAGAGTGCTAAATGTTAGGAAACAGTTACTCTCTGTGTGTCTAATGGAATGAATTACTTAGCTTCACAAAGGATTATTTATTGTGATCTTGCTGCTCGAAATTGCTTGTAAGTATAACAGCCAATAGAAATGTGTTTACTAGTGGTGACTAATTTTAATGATCATAGGATTGCTGATAATGGTGTCATCAAAGTTGCTGATTTTGGTCTATGGGAAGAAATTTACACAAAAAATACTTAAAGCAATTTAAAGAGTTAAAGTCTGCTAAACTCCCAGTCAAACAAATGGTACTTAAAAGTCTTCACTATGGGATATTAAAATCAGACGTGGTCAGTTTTAAATGATATTATTAGACCTATATAGTATGGTTCAATTCTCACACACACAGTGGTCTTATGGTGTTTTGTGTTGGGAAGTCTTTAGTGCTGGGAAAATACCATACCCTGGTATGGATCCAATAGGATTAGTGGAACTATTGGATAGTAGGCAAAGGTTAAGCTGTCCTCATAATGAAGCCTGCTCAGAAGACATGTATGCATAATAATAATAATTAGATATATTTTTTGCTATATATAATTATTCCTTGATGCAGCAGTGTTGGTGTGAGTCTCCTGATGACAGGACATTGTTCAGTGATTTGGTTACATCAGTCAATGAAGCAAGATGGTGCGTGGACTTGCCTGCTGAGATTCACCTGAGGGATAATGTGTTACTTGTACTGCCTCCATTGACTGCTGTATAAACTGTGTTGCATGCAACAAGTTGCAACATTTTGTTTGCAACAAATGTTGCATAGTGTATGTTGGGCTTAAGCAACTTGATATTTGAAAAAAAGGATAATAGATTTTGACAAAGTGCAAAGTGCAACAATGCAATTACTGCACTGATCCATGAAATAAATTTTAGGTGTGGTCAGCAGTGCAGTGCAGATAAACATGGCACGTGGGTAGGAGAAAGAAGAAAAGCTGGAATTTATTTTAGCATCTGAAGCTCTATTCAAAGAAAGAGTAAGCACAAAAAATTTGCCTAGATATTTAAAAGAGACTGAGATAGTTTGGTTGCTCCTGCTTTCCCCAGTGCTGCCTGAAAATTTTTCGAAGAGGCTAAATCACAAACTTTGAGCAACTGTAACTCGCAAACAAAAAAGAGATTAGAAAATTCCCACATATTTTTTAATCTATGTACTTTTCTCTACCTATCAATGCTAATCTTGACCAAATAGAGTGAAACACGAAGATTTGGCTAGGAAAAGTGGTCTATTCTTGAAAATATTTGGCTTTTGCTACCACGGATTGCTATGAAAACACAACGGAGCTAAATAAATTATCTTTTTCTGAAAGCTTAAAAAGAATTATAACTCAGGAGAGCTCAGTAAAAAAGATATTGACTAGGAATTAACAGGAATTTTCGTGACAGAATGACAGACAGAATGACAACCCAACTGCATAGTACCCGCCTACGCAAGCGTGGCGAGTCCAATTACACACAATTTAGATAGCAGTGTCTCCAGACCCTTCCTCTGCAAGTAGCGAAGGGGTGGGGTGAGACTACTACAAGAGACACTATTTTACTCTAGCAATCAAGATTTGACACTTTCCTGCACTGTGGCAACTCTAGCAATCAAGATTTGACATTTTCTCAGTACTGTAACAACTGTCATGCATGCTGTCAGTTTGTAGCCACACCCAAACACCCTCACATCTTAATTAGACTATGAAGAATGCAATCAAAACTATAAGCAGTCAACACTATCTAAGCAAGTAACTTTTACTACAGTGGTAATATGCAGGACAAAATATAGTTTTAAAATTATACATGCAAAACAAAATTAATATTGTTTTTCTTTGTTTTGGCGAGGCCAATGCACCATCGGTGTCTCGTTTTATTATGATTTAAGCTGCCAAATGTGAACATCTGTTGTGAGTGTACAATACATAGTTGCCAAATTTTTGTTATTCAGTGCAGTTGATGATGTCATTGTTGAAGGAATGTAACTTACATGTAGTTATTAAACTAGTTAATTTTGTGTAAACAGTATGAATATTGTTGTCTTGTCTATTTAATCTGATTTTTGTGCAACTTACAGATCTAGTGTATTCTATTGTGTATTGAGTAATTCAATGATAAACTGTTAAGTTGTTTATTGGTGATCAGATCCTGCTAGCAGTCATAAATTTGTTTAGTCATTGGGAAAGTAGTTTGATAGCAATGATGAGAGAAGCAGTGCTAGTCTTTGTTTTATGTGTTCTGTCACTATCAGTTGCTCAGGATTGTCCTCTACCAACAAAAGCTGAGATAGAGGCTGTTTTGCCTCCTTTACTAGTTGTTTCTAGTGGTGGCCAGTCATACTCTCCTAATGTAACTAAAGGATCAGTTCAATATGTCTGTCTAGCTCAAGGGGACATCATTAATACTTATAAAGAAGTTGCTCTTATAGCTATATTCACTCCTAACCCAAAGGAACCTGAACAAACCAACTTATTTACATTGGGCTGTAACAGTGGTACATGGACTGGAGTTGCAAATGATGGA